ACTCAACCGATTTTCACGAGGCTTGGATTTTTTTTCATTGTTTGGCCTCTAGATTAATTGTGCATCAAAATCTGGATACGTTTTTTTTGGTCGAAATTCATGTAAATAATTGTACCCTCAAATATCCTTTATAGACATAGGTCGAAATTTACACCCCCATAACTCGGTCAAAACTCAACGGATTTTCGTGAGGTTTGGATTTTTTTTCATGGTTTGGCCTCTAGATTAATTGTGCATCTAAATCTGGATACGTTATTTTTGGTCGAAATTCATGTACAAAATTGTACCCTCAAATATCCTTTATAGACATAGGTCGAAATGTTCCACCCCCATAACTCGCCCAAAACTCAACCGATTTTCTCGAGGTTTGGATTTTTTTTCATGGTTTGGCCTCTAGATTAATTGTGCATCTAAATCTGGATACGTTATTTTTGGTTAAAATTCATGTACAAATTTGTACCCTAAAATATCATATATAGACATAGGTCGAAAGTTCCCACCCCCATAACTCTGTCAAAACTCAACCGATTTTCTCGAGGCTTGGATTTTTTTTCATGGTTTGGCCTCCAGATTAATTGTGCATCAAAATCTGGATACGTTATTTTTGGTCGAAATTCATGTACAAAATTGTACCCTCAAATATCCCATATAGACACAGGTCGAAGGTTCCCCCCCATAACTCGGCCAAAACTCAACCGATTTTCTCGAGGCTTGGATTTTTTTTCATGGTTTGGCCTCTAGATTAATTGTGCATCAAAATCTGGATACGTTATTTTTGGTCGAAATTCATGTACAAAATTGTACCCTCAAATATCCTTTATAGACATAGGTCGAAATGTTCCACCCCCATAACTCGGCCAAAACTCAACCGATTTTCTCGAGGCTTGGATTTTTTTTCATGGTTTGGCCTCTAGATTAATTGTGCATCAAAATCTAGATACGGTATTTTTGGTCGAAATTCATGTAAATAATTGTACCCTCAAATATCCTTTATAGACATAGGTCGAAATGTTCCACCCCCATAACTCGGCCAAAACTCAACCGATTTTCACGAGGCTTGGATTTTTTTTCATTGTTTGGCCTCTAGATTAATTGTGCATCAAAATCTGGATACGTTTTTTTTGGTCGAAATTCATGTAAATAATTGTACCCTCAAATATCCTTTATAGACATAGGTCGAAATTTACACCCCCATAACTCGGTCAAAACTCAACGGATTTTCGTGAGGTTTGGACCGATTTTCTCGAGGCTTGGATTTTTTTTCATGGTTTGGCCTCCAGATTAATTGTGCATCAAAATCTGGATACGTTATTTTTGGTCGAAATTCATGTACAAAATTGTACCCTCAAATATCCTTTATAGACATAGGTCGAAATGTTCCACCCCCATAACTCGGCCAAAACTCAACCGATTTTCTCGAGGCTTGGATTTTTTTTCATGGTTTGGCCTCTAGATTAATTGTGCATCAAAATCTGGATACGTTATTTTTGGTCGAAATTCATGTACAAAATTGTACCCTCAAATATCCTTTATAGACATAGGTCGAAATGTTCCACCCCCATAACTCGGCCAAAACTCAACCGATTTTCTCGAGGCTTGGATTTTTTTTCATGGTTTGGCCTCTAGATTAATTGTGCATCAAAATCTAGATACGGTATTTTTGGTCGAAATTCATGTAAATAATTGTACCCTCAAATATCCTTTATAGACATAGGTCGAAATGTTCCACCCCCATAACTCGGCCAAAACTCAACCGATTTTCTCAAGGCTTGGATTTTTTTTCATGGTTTGGCCTCTAGATTAATTGTGGATCAAAATCTGGATACGTTATTTTTGGTCGAAATTCATGTAAATAATTATACCCTCAAATATCCTTTATAGACATAGGTCGAAATTTCCCACCCCGATAACTCGGCCAAAACTCAACCGATTTTCGCGAGGTTTGGATTTTTTTCCATGGTTTGGTCTCTAGATTAATTGTGCATCAAAATCTGGATACGTTATTTTTGGTCGAAATTCATGTACAAAATTGTACCCTCAAATATCCTTTATAGACATAGGTCGAAATGTTCCACCCCCATAACTCGGCCAAAACTCAACCGATTTTCACGAGGCTTGGATTTTTTTTCATGGTTTGGCCTCTAGATTAATTGAGCATCAAAATCTGGATACGTTATTTTTGGTCGAAATTCATGTAAATAATTATACCCTCAAATATCCTATATAGACACAGGTCGAAATGTTCCACCCCCATAACTCGGCCAAAACTCAACCGATTTTCACGAGGCTTGGATTTTTTTCATTGTTTGGCCTCTAGATTAATTGTGCATCAAAATCTGGATACGTTTTTTTTTGGTCGAAATTCATGTAAATAATTGTACCCTCAAATATCCTTTATAGATATAGGTCGAAATTTACACCCCCTTAACTCGGCCAAAACTCAACCGATTTTCACGAGGTTTGGATTTTTTTTCATGGTTTTGACTCTAGATTAATTGTGCATCAAAATTTGGATATGTTATTTTTGGTTGAAATTCATGTAAAAATTGTACTCTCAAATATCCTACATAGACATAGGTCGAAAGTTCCCACCCCCATAACTTACAAATTGGCCATTAAATCCATGTGGTATCTATAGCTGAGAACAATATTTTAATATTTTTATATATTTATATATTCAGAATCAATAAGTAGAGATTTCTGTCATGTATATATATCAGAACTGTTGTTTTTGTTCTAGGCAGTGCATATTTAGAAGTCGGTTGAATATACTAATCCGATCCTATCATAAAGCTGCCATATATATGATTAGTCAATAAGTTCAGAAAACCTAACATATCAGCAAAATATTAAATAAAGCAGACTGTATATATTTATATTAGTTCAGATATAGTAAAAATTGATCGTCCTTTTATTGGAAGGGCATTTTCTATTCGGACTGCGCAAGTAAACTATCCATGCACGTTTTTAGAGTTAAGAGTTACAAAACTTACCCGGCTATTTAATGTTGTCATCCTCCTTCCTTGATCTAACATCAATATTCGCCATGTCCGCAGATATTTTGTGTTGTCTTAGGTTTTTGGCCTCTCACACTTGTAAAGCTGCTGTTGCAAATTTGTGTAAATTATGTATTTGTGCACTTTTGATTTCATTTAAACGAAGTTTCCTGATGGCCCCCAGCGCATGTCAAATATCAAAACCGAATCGCGTCGGGCAGCCACTTGCGCAACACCACATCCACATCCACATTCACGTACCATCCCATCCCAGACCAGGCTGGCCAAATATCACTGCCATATGCGGTGGGCGTGCTCCGTTAATGCTGCTGCTGCTGCAGCTGCCTGTCGCCTGTTGCCCCCTCTTATGAAATTAACATAATCGTGCTCAGCCTCTGCCCATTGCCTCCCGTCTCCTCCCAACACACACCACACACACAAACACAACAAAGTGTTGAGAGCTGGCGCTGGCTGTCAAGTGGTGGCTGCCGGGCATACGAGATGAGGGTTAGCTGGCTGCGCCGGAGGATCGTTTAGCACTTTATTCGTCCCACTGTGTTGTGCAATGCGAGCATCCAAAATTGTAGGATTTGTGGTTTGTTGTGTTTCGCGTTTGGTTTTTTGTTGTTACAATAAAGTGTTTAATTTTATGAAAATATGCTTTACAATTTTACTTGCTTTAGCACGTGTTTATATATGTATATGTATATGTGTGAGTTGTGTATGTTTATATGTATATATATTTACATATATATATATATATATGCGTGTGTGTGTAAATCTCTTAAGCCTTTCCACATCAGTTTGATTTTTGTTGTTTTTTTATATTTGTTGTTTATCATTAAGTTACGCTTATACAATTTTTACGTATTCTAACCTAAATGTATACCATTCTCTTTTAGCTGTTTTTTTTTAATAATAATAATAATAATAATATTTTGTTTATGTTTTGTAAATTTTAAACTATGCGCTATAAAAATGTTCAACAGCAAAAATAATATGCATTGCATTTGGTTTTTGTTTTATCGAAAGGTGGCCCAAAACACACACAAAACGCACATAAATTCTATTTTGAAAAATTTCATAAAAAACTGTGTTTAAAAAAATGATTATTATTATCAATTTTTGTTAGCGTTTCTCTTCTTTTTTTGCTGCTGTGCGCGCCACAAGAAACAAATATCGCAAAAAACGTAAAAAAAAAATTTTAAAAAAATTTACAATTACAAAGCACATACACAAAAAATGTTTGTTGTTCTTGTTGTTGGTGTTGTTGTTGTTGTTGTTAAATGTGAATATCTCTTTCTCTAGACAATGCACAGATTTTTAAAGCTATATAACAATTCAATTATCTTATCGCACTGCGCTGCTGCATTTACAATTTAGTATTTGTATCTTGTATTGAACCGATCATTAAATATTTTGTTTCGTTTTCTTAACTTTTCGCTTGTTTTTGGTTTCTACAACAACGTTTAACATAAATGTGGGCTGCCAATTTAAATAGTTGGGCTTTTGACTTGCGACTCAACTTGAATGCGCTTCGTTCGCAGTTGAGCTTTGGCCGTAAACCCTCAGTGCTGCATTAATGCTCGTGTTATTATTATTAACTATACATTTGGAGTTGTTTTTGTTTTTTTTCGAAGAGCTATTACAATTAAATAAAACTTTTAAAACTGTTGAAGCCTACACATTGCACGTATCTCTGTTTAAACATTGTGTTTTGTTTCTGTTGCAGCTGTTGTTGTTGGTTGGTTGGTTGTTGTTGTTGTTGTTGTTGTTCAATCATACAACACATCACATATTTTACAGTTTAATAATACTTTCTTACACATAATTTTGTTATCAATTAATTCATTTTTTTTTCAGTTTTGTTGTTGTTGCTGTTGCGGCTGCTCTCTGCTATTACTTGTTATTGTTGTTGTTGTCGCTCGATGCACCACCCCGTCAATGTGTTGTTATTGTTGTTGTTGTTGCTGTTATTTGTTATTTTTTAGCTGCTGCTGCTGATTGATTGGTTGATTGATTGACTCCTTATGACAAAAACGGATTTGTAGCTGCCGCCTCCGGCTTTATCCACGGCATGTTGTTGTTTTGCTGCAAGAATTTAAAACAAAAATATTAGTTTAAACAAATTCCCAAAATTATTTGCACAGTGGAGCTAAAGTAAGCAAAACTATCTACATGCAGTTTCTAGCAGCTACATTTGTTAATGTTAAATAATTAGTTTGTTAGCTTTAGTGGGCATTTGTATATATAAGATTGTGGCTTTAGGTTCTGGGAGTTATATATTTTATGGATAGCAGAGCATGCACATTCGAAAAAAACATTTTACCCATTTGCATTGTATTTTGCATATTTGTATGTGTTTTATTTAAGCGTCCAAGCCTCCATTGTTGGCTACAATTAGAAAATATTATGATCAACTGTGTTTGGCAGAGAGCAGCTGCTTGTTAACATGAGTACGTTATTATTAGGCGCATATAAGAGTAGCAGGGAATGAAACCGTCTAGTTAGAAATTCAAAAGGAATGAATATACTTTTTGAAAAAATAGTAATAATAAAGCTAGGGTGCCAGAAGTATCTAGAGCAGAAACCATCACGTTGAGAAGTCCATTCTGTCTTTAGTTATTGAAAAAGGTGAGTTTTTACTATTGACAATGAATTTACTCAGCATTTTTGGTACGAATTGGCATGAACTTGAGTTTTGATCAAAATATATAGTCTAATTTAAATGTGTAGATAATCTAGATGGCAAGCCTCATCCGAAGTTGCATCCCTCCTGAAAATCGAATCATTTTGGACAAGGGTATGAAAGTTGGAAGACTACATAGATTTGAGATTTTTAGATATTCACTCGTAACGAGAAAATAATGATAGCCTTTCCATATAAGATCATTTTATTACACCGATCTTACCTGTACTCATGCAAAGTTTCAAGGCGATATATATAATTTATGGGATCGGATATGTTTCCTTCGAAACAGGTTCAAGGGAAACTTTGACTTGGGACCTGAAGTTTCCAGATATGTTACTAAACTTAAATGCAGATTTAAACTAGAGATCAACCCTTGTCTACTATGGAAGTTTGAAATCTAGAGAGAGATCTTTTCCTATGGTTCTGAGGTTTCCATAAAGAGCTCCCCTATTATTAATTTTGAAAATGTGAAAGACTTAAGTTTCGGTTTCATTCCCTGCGTGGCAATAGGGACATTCCGTAGCACTCGCTGCTAGCTTGTAAATCATACAATATTAAAACAAAAATTTATACAAAATAAATTGACAAATAAACTAGCTAAAAACTCAAGCAAAGCAACAACAAATCACAAATCTGTTTCTGGCAATAACAACAAGAGCAACAGCAGCAGCAAAAAATCAACAACAACAAGGACAACAGGAGAACGACGAGCGACAGGATTCGAACGGCTGCTCCTCAGTTCGCACTCACTTCCAGTTTGCAGTAGTTGCCAGCGGCTGCGCTGGAATTGCCATAGAAGCTGCCCGTTGGAGTTGCCGCAATGTTGCTATCGTAGCCCAGTGGTGAAATGCTGATGCCCGGCGTATCGGCCAGTGAATCGGACAGGGCGCTGCTGTAGCACTGCGTATAGGTGGAATAGCCCGGGGTGCTGCAGTTGCTGTACGGGCCAGCGGGCGCCGTGGGGCTGGGGAAATAGGAACGCGGCTGTGGCTGCGACTCACTCATGACATCCAAGTTGCGTATGTTGTCAATGGACGAACTATTATTGTAGCTCTGGCTGATGCCATAGCTATAAATGTTGTTGTTCTCGCTCGGCGGATTGTTGTAGCTTGGCTGTGGACGGGACAGGACGGGTTTATTGAAGGCGCCCAACAGATCAAAGTCATCGATCAGCTTCAGGCTGGTCGGACGCAGCGGTTTCAGCGGCTTTGGCTATTTATGTCGATTTGGATTTGGATTTGGATGTTGCATGCAACAGTTGCTCAAAATGTAAGGTAACGACAATAAGGCAAAGCAAATAGAGGGAAACAAAATGCAATGTTCAGTATGGAAACGATAAAGTAAAGTAAAGAGTACCAATAAAAATTATTAGAGAGATCACAGTAAACCTCAAACAATAGAAATTCATAAATGCATATAAATATGGTAATATATAGTAAGTAAAAGTATGAGAGAATTTATTTTCAATTAAATACCTAAACGTACTCCGCTCAGACAAACGAAAAAATAAAGAAAGAATAACTAACTGCGGCGTGCCGAAGTTTGAATACCCTTATAGAAGTATTTTTGTGATATGTGAGGACAATCAAGATGTCTGAAAAGGCTCTTTTAGAGCTATATAGAAGTCTGATATTGTTTCCAAAATATAAATAGCACAGTTCAACTAAATAAGTGCCGTGTTTCTACAAAGGTATCTCGAGATACAAAAGGTAACTCTTGCAAGCCACTAATTCTATGGCAATTATATGATATAGTCATCCGATTTGGTCGGCTCCAAAAATATATACCGCCTGCAAGACAGCAAGACGAATCTATTTAAGGATTTATCATAAAAACTTAAAATCCGAGAGAAAACTTTGTATGGAAACAGACGGAAGAATGGCCTTTGGACTCGACTGTTGATACTTATCAGGAATATATATACTTGATGGGCTCTTTACCTCTTCACCTTCTATAAGGGTATACAAATATTGTCCGCTGCACACTTGCACTCACACTCACCTGAGAGGCTGCACTGACGCCGCCGCTGGCCGGCGCCCAGGGATCCTGATTCATGTTGACGGGGAAGGGCGGCTGCTGTTTCAACTGATTGATGGACGGCACCTGAGCGATAAATGCAACAGCAGCAATTACACAGCTCTACAATAATATATTATATAAGCAGTACTCACGGCTGGCTGCTGCTGCTGGAATAGATTCGTTTTGGGTGGCATCACATTGTCCGCAAACGGATTGTAGGCTGGCACAAGGCCGGACTGTGTCTGCGGCGTATTTGGCTTAATTAAATTATCCAAATTAACCAACGCCGAATTTTCGCCGAGGAATGCAATCGGATCGCGATAGGGCTTCTTGGTGGTGGCACCCGTCGACGGATGCACCGAGCCGCCGCCGCTGTTGCCGTAATTCGTCGAAAGCGGATCCATATCGTCCAGCAGCGAAGCTATTGGCAAGATAAAAGCTAATTAATAAAACGGAGCAAACACTTGGACGCGCCTTTGGTCTGCTCACCATTGTTGTTGTTATTGGAGGCATTATTGGAATTGTTCTGCTCGGCGCTTTTATTGCGATTGGTTATCAAATCGAACTCATCAAAGTCGGGCGATTGTTTCTGCAATTGCAAGAGAGAGATTAGAATTCTTCTTTTTTCTTATTGTTATTAGAAACTTACCTTGATGGCGCCTGTTTGCATTGCCTTCCAAGGATCATCTAGCGCTCCCGAGCTCGGCTGCGCTGCTGCCCAGGGATCCGCCGGAGCGGCGGCTGCTGCTGCTGCTGCGCTGGCTGCTGGCTGCGCTTCCGCGAGCCAAGGATCGGCTGAGCTGCCATTGCTGGCCGCGTATTTTGTAGGAGGTGCTGCCAGGGCGGCGCTGGCTGTTGATTTTGTCAGCCAGGCATCGACGGGCGCTGGAGCGGGCATACGGCCATTTTGGCTGGAATTGCCGTTGGTTTGCAGCCAGCCCTCAGTGGAGGAGCCCGATGCCACGGATGGCGACTGTGTACGCAGACCCCAGGCATCGCCTGGTGCGGCCAAAGGCTGAGCCTGTGGAGCAGCTGCGCCCAGCGGCACACCGGCGCTCATAATAGTACGCGGCGCGGCCGAGGGATGCCAGGGATCTACATGTGGCGAGGCGGCGCCTGCCCACGGATCCGACAGTTGACTAGCTGCACGGCTAGACGGCGTAGCCCAGGGATCGACAACAGCAGCGGGAGCACCGCCTGCAGCGCCCAAGGGTGGACTTGAAATGCTGGTCGCGCCCAGCGAAATATCCAGCAGGTCCAGCAAATGGCTCTGTTGCTCCTCTTTTTTGGGCGCCGCTATGGGTCGTCCACTGGAGTCCCTGTCGAGGCAGGGTCTTATTTAGAAATTGCGGTAGCTGTACTTTGATTTTGAGCACTCACTTGAAGTCCTGTTCGCTCTGGCTGAGCGCTAATTGAAGACGCACATCGTCGCTGCGCCGCTTGGCCTCCTCCTGCTCGGCCTCCTCGCGCGACATGGCCATGGCCAGCTGCAGCTGTAGCTCCTCCTCGCCGGCGGTTTGTGGCCGCACCATTTCCAGCTCGGAGGCGTTTTTGGGCGGCTCCTCCTGCCAGCCCGGCGGCATGTCGCGCTGCGAGGGCCCGTCGATATAGCCATCGCTGCCAAAGCCGCTCGGATGCAGTGCGAAACGCTCTTTGGCTTTTAGCGCCTTGACGCGCTCATTCCTGAGACGCTCGTCATCCTTGAGCAGATTGACCAGCTGTTTGGCCTTCTCGCGCACATGGGTGCCCTGATCCTTGCCCTCCTCAAAGTAGACAAACTCGCGCAACGTTTGTATGGCAAAAATATTCTCTTTGCATTGCTGGGCAACCTTTTCGGTGCCCGTCTTAATCAGATACTCGAGCAATATCAACGCCTTGTAGACATGACGCCAGTTCTTGCCGTGATCGTTGAGACGTTTCCATATCATTTGCATTATCTCCGAGAAGGCAACCACATTGTACGTTAGATCGGCTATTTCGGCCATAATTGTGGCCGATGGCCCCCATGGATCATTGGAAGTAGCCTCGCGCACCTTGACCTGCAAGTTACAGAGGAGATGTGATACGGATTATGTATATTGATTATGGCAGGTGGGTTTTACCTGTGCATCGGAATAGTTGTGCGCGAGATTCTTGATGTTTCTGCGTAGTCCGGCGACATTGACCTGCATATCGTCTTTTTGCTTTCTCACTGTGTGACGAGAAGAGTGAAGAGAGGTGTTAACATGGCTAGAACTAAGTTGAATTAGCTGCGACTACAGATTATGTTTGTAATTTAATTTATATATATATATCTGTTCTATATATCTTAGGTTTCTTTATCTGTTCCCGTTTAACTGAAATTTCGATTGTTTTAATTTTGTCTTTACGTTAAACGCTACCAAAACAAAATGAATTCTGTGTTGAAATGAATGTCACGTTACAATATTTTCATATATATAGTGACATATCCATAGTCGCACCCACCCTTTAACATAACTTAGCACATAAGCATAAGCACAATTATAAACATTTCTAATATTGTAAACAAAGAGCCTGGTGATAACATCGACATTGGTCAAGATCAAACTGTCCCCCTTTGGTAGACATAAACAATTCACCCTAAATATCACGCCACTGTCAATGTTCCCATCAGAGTACTATCCCACGCATAATTGCTGACGCAGCTCAAACTTCACTCAATTTTGACTCAAACTCTCTCAAAGCGAAGTTTGCTAAGCGACCGCAACAGTTAGATAAATCAGTTCATATTCGGGAAGCAAATCTGAATGTACTCAACAAAAGTAGCCGTTAAGTGAAAATAATAAATTGAAATATATTTTTTTATAGTAACCTAACGTGCAAAACTTAATTGGCGCAGCCGGTAGGATACGTCGGGAAAAATTAAAGATCGCTAAAGGATAATTAATTCCCAGATCTAACGCACAATCGCGACCGAAAGTGTTGTCGGAGTGTAATAAAAATTTTCTCGAATACGTATCCGCACAAGAACCTTCGGGTCATTAGTAGCTTAATAATATTGACCCTTTGGGCAATAAAGCTACTACAGTTAATAACGACTGGCTTTGCATATCGTTTGATCCCTGCAATACGTTATTACTGAGTCTTTTTAAGACACACACACAAAAAAAAAAAAAAACATTTACACAATAATCCATCACAAACTTTAACTTAAAATAAAAGTGCAAAATCAAAGAACAATAAAGTTCAAACCTACAAACTCAAAACTATTCAAAAAAAAGTGTATTACACCAAGATGACAATGGAATTATCAGAACAACACCTCAACCAGGCCCTTTCACAACTTAGACAGGTGCCAAGCTTTGACGGATCAACGGATCAACTAAACGCCTTCATTAAAAGGATAGATTACATCCTACACCTGTATCCAACCCGAGATGTTAGACAACATAGCATCTTATACGGAGCCATCGAATTGCAAGTCACAGGAGATGCTCAGAGAATATCACAAAGGACAGCAGCCAACACTTGGCAGGAGCTGAGAAACGCATTGATTGAAGAATACAAAGTGCAGACACCATTTGAAGAACTCCTTCGACGCTTATACAACACGAATTACCAAGGAAACGTCCGTAAGTTCATCGAGGAGCTCGAGAATAAATCTTTTGTTATTTTAAATAAGTTAGCACTAGAAAATATACCTAGCAATACAACCCTTTATACAAATGCTATGAATAACACAATCAAAGATGTTATTACAAAAAAATTACCAGATAGGCTTTTCATGATGTTAGCCAGACACGACATTACGTCGACACAAAAACTAAAGCAAGTAGCTCAAAGAGAGGGATTATATGAAAATAGCGTTACTGAAAAACCTAAAAATAATAATGTTCAGGGAAATCCAAATAACAATCGTAGGAACATGGGAAATTATCAGCAAAATGCTAACCCAACCACCATTTCAAGTGGCTATTCCAACACGAATCAGAGTTATCACGCACAAAATAAACAGCATAATAAGTCCGAAGACAATCAGAAAGCTCACCACGAGTTCCAACAGAAATTAAGTCAAGGTAGATACCAAAATCCCTTAAACTACCAAAATCAGTCCCATTCACGCTTGAATGCACCAAACCCTCCGACTAAACGTCAAAGAGATAGTAACAGTGGGCAGATGAAAATGGATACATCCGAAAATTTTCATCAGCAAGCCTCGGAACAAACAGAAGAAATCCATTCATAAAATTGATTATGAATGACGAAGTTCTAAAATGTGTCATCGACACAGGTTCAACCATTAATCTAATGAAAACTAACCGCTTAAATTTTCCAGTTTACAACGAAACATTAAAGGTTCACACCATAAATGGTGTTATTGAATTAAAACAAAGTATACGATTAGGAGCAAGCAAAATTTGTCCGAGCAAACAAAAATTCTATATTCACGACTTCTCAGAGCATTATGATGTTCTGATTGGGAGAGAATACCTTGAGGCATGTCAAGCAAAAATAGACTATGCACAAGGATCCGTAACCTTAGGAGAATTTAACTTTTGTTTTAGATATAACGACGAAGAGGTCGAAGAGGACAGACCATTTAACTTCGCTATTAATAATGAATTAATAGAAAACAATGAGTTTAGGCTAGAGCACCTAAACTCAGAAGAAAAAGAAAAAATAAAAAAAGTTTTACATGAATTTCGTGATATCCAGTACCATGAAGGTGACAATTTGACTTTCACTAGTACAATTAAACACAAAATTCTAACAAAACATGAGGACCCAATTTACAAGCGTCCATACAAATATCCTCAAATATACGATGAGGAAGTAAATAAACAAATAAGCGATATGATAAAACAAAATATCATACGTAAATCCAAATCCCCTTACTGCTCACCAGTAATAATCGTTCCAAAGAAAAACGATGCATCTGGAAAGCAAAAGTTCCGGTTAGTCATAGATTACCGCAATCTCAATGAACTAACTATTAATGATAAATACCCTATCCCGATCATGGATGAAATATTAGACAAACTTGGAAAATGTCAATATTTCACAACCATTGATCTAGCCAAAGGCTTCCACCAAATCCAAATGGATCCTGGTTCAATACCCAAGACCGCATTTTCGACTAAACATGGCCATTACGAGTACACTCGCATGCCATTCGGTCTTAAGAATGCACCTGCAACGTTCCAACGTTGTATGAACAATCTCTTAGAAGATTTAATTTTTAAGGATTGTCTGGTCTACTTAGACGACATTATTATTTTTTCCACTTCATTGGAGGAACACATTTTGTCGCTACAAAAGGTATTTAAGAAGCTTAGAGAAGCTAACTTAAAACTACAGTTGGATAAATGCGAGTTTATGAGAAAAGAAACTGAATTTCTCGGTCACATCATCACAACTGAGGGTATAAAACCAAATCCCAACAAGATACAAGCAATTGTCAAATTCCCAATTCCAAAAACCCCAAAAGAAATTAAATCATTTCTAGGATTATGTGGTTTCTATAGGAAATTTATACCAAATTTCGCTAATATAGTAAAACCATTAACACTTAAATTAAAAAAAGGAGCAAAAATCAATATAAAAGACAGAGACTACGAACTAGCGTTTGAAAAGCTAAAAGTACTCATAACATCCGACCCAATTTTAATATACCCTAACTTCGAAAAACCATTTTCATTAACTACAGACGCGAGTAATATGGCAATAGGGGCCGTCCTTTCGCAAGAGCATAAGCCTATATGCTATGCAAGTAGAACTCTCAACGAGCATGAGTTAAATTATTCAACGATTGAAAAAGAATTATTAGCAATCGTTTGGGCCACTAAATACTTTAGGTCCTATCTCTTTGGTCGACAATTTCAAATCCTTAGTGATCACAGACCACTCGTCTGGTTAAATAATATGAAAGAACCTAACATGAAATTACAAAGGTGGAAGATCAAGCTAAATGAGTTTGATTTCCAAATTAAATACGTCCCAGGAAAAGAAAATTATGTGGCAGATGCTCTGTCCAGAATTCAATTAAACGAAAACTTCTTAGGCGAAGATACAATTAGCACAAGAGCAACAATACATAGTGCTCAAGAAGACAACAGTAACCATTTACAAATCACAGAAAGACCACTTAATTATTATAATCGACAAATAGAATTTGAAAAAGGAACCGAGAACGAAACAAAAGTTACGAATTACTTTCACAAAACCAACATAAAAATTACGTACAAAGACATGACTAATACGCATGCCAAAGAATTAATAACAGAATACTTATGCACAAAGAAAAGTGTGCTATACTTCCACAACGAAGCAGATTTTCCAATTTTTCAAGAAGCCTACTTAGAAATAATAAGTCCGAATAATTCAACAAAGGCAATGAAAACTAGTACAAAATTAATAGACCTTCAAACATACGCAGAATTCAAAGAATTAATATTAAAAAAGCACAAAGAATTATTACATCCAGGAATTGAAAAAACTATCAATTGGTTCAAAGAAACCCACTATTTCCCAGATTATCAAAATTTAATTCAAAATCTAATAAATGAATGTGAGATTTGCAACATCGCAAAAACAGAACACAGGGATACAAAATTAACTTTCGAAATAACTCCGGAAATCGCTAATATCCGAGAAAAATATGTAATGGATTTTTACATAGTAGGAGATAAACAATTTTTATCTTGCATTGATATCTATTCAAAATTTGCATCATTAATAGAAATAAAAAGTAGAGACTGGCTAGAAACCAAACGAGCTATATTACAAGTGTTCAACCAAATGGGTAAACCCATCGAAATAAAGGCAGACAAAGACTCAGCTTTTATGTGTACAGCTTTACAATTATGGCTAAAATCAGAAGCAGTAAATATTAATATAACCACTAGTAAAAATGGTATATCCGACGTAGAACGATTTCATAAGACAGTTAACGAAAAACTAAGAATCATTAACAGCGACTCAGACGTCGAAAATAAACTTACAAAATTTGAAACTATACTCTACACGTACAATCATAAAACAAAGCACAAAACGACTAACAGAACACCAGCGGACATATTCATATATGCAGGTACACCAGAGTATGACACTCAAGCTAATAAAGAAAAACTAATAAATAATCTCAACAAAAAACGAACAAATTATGAAATTGACACTAGATACAAACACTCACCGTTAGTTAAATCAAAGACGACAACCCCGTTCAAGAAAACAGGAGAACTAAGACAAATCGACGACAAACATTTTGAGGAAACTAACAGAGGCAGGAAAATAACACATTACAAAACCAAATTTAAAAAGAAAAAGAAGACTAATCAAAGCAAATATAACAATTACAGGTCAACAACAGACAGCGATCAAAACATACAAGCACCAGCTTAAATTAATTATTATAATATTACTATCAATAACTGTAAACCATATAAATGCACAGAGTATTGAAATTAATCCTATCAAAGCCCATAACGGATATCTCATATTTAAAACAGGAACCATAGACATTCCGACAGATTACGAATTCCACTGTTTAACGGTTAATATAACAAAAACCGAAGAAACTTTTAACAATTTAATTGAACAAAGTAAAGAATTCAATAACCTTATACAAATCGAATACCTAGTAGAAAAATTAAACAGAGAAATAAACGGCTTAAAAATAGCCAAACGCAGCAAAAGAGGTTTAGTTAACATAGTAGGAACAGCATATAAATACTTATTTGGAACATTAGATCAAGAAGACAAAGCAGAAATTGAACAAAAAATAAGCAACTTAGCAGAAAACAGCGTCCAGGTTAACGAATTAAATTACATAATAGAAGCTATAAACAAAGGAATAGAAATCATGAACGAACTAGATCAAGAGAAACAAAAAGGAAAGAAATTAGATATCCTTATATTTAACTTACAACACTTTACAGAATATATAGAAGACATTGAGATGGGAATGCAGCTCACAAGATTAGGAATTTTTAACCCAAAATTACTAAAACATGACTATTTGTTGCATGTTAATTCTGAGAAATTGTTGAATACAAAAACTTCCACTTGGTTTAAATCAGATACAAACGAAATACTTATAATATCCCATATTCCTCGAGAAATAATAAAAAGCCCGGTATTCGAAATAATTCCATACCCGGATGAAAATAATAATATTTTGACAGAAATAGCTCATGAAAAATATTTTACCCAAGATAAAAAAGTTTATAGCAGAGAAACAAAAAAATTAATTAATAATGAATGTTTAACAGGAATTTTAAACCAAATAACATCAGAATGTAGTTATACTAAAATTTTGCAAAATTTTCAAATCAACTACATAGAACCAAATATAATTTTAACTTGGAATTTACCAAAAACTATATTAAACCATAATTGTATAAATAACGAAATAACAATAGAAGGAGACAATATAATAAAAATCTTTAATTGTTCATTGCAAATTAATGAAATTTCAATTTCAAACAATATGTTAGATTATACTCAAAGCATTTACGTAAGCAATGATGTTATAAAATTAGAACCACTTTCGTTTGTACAAACGAAACAAATTATAAATGCACATACAAAATTTAACAATGTATTCCAGATAATTACAATAACCATATTTGTAATCATATTAATAAGTTTAACACTGTATTTGACATATAAGTTCAAAAGCATACCTAAGAAATTAATTATAAAATATAAAAAACCCAAAGTAGAAGAAACACCTACAATAATAGGAGATATACCAATTGTAAAAGAAGAAAATGTTACACTATATCCAAACTTAAACACCTGAGGACAGGCACTTTTCTAATGGTTGGGGGAGTGACATATCCATAGTCGCACCCACCCTTTAACATAACTTAGCACATAAGCATAAGCACAATTATAAACATTTCTAATATTGTAAACAAAGAGCCTGGTGATAACATCGACATTGGTCAAGATCAAACTGTCCCCCTTTGGTAGACATAAACAATTCACCCTAAATATCACGCCACTGTCAATGTTCCCATCAGAGTACTATCCCACGCATAATTGCTGACGCAGCTCAAACTTCACTCAATTTTGACTCAAACTCTCTCAAAGCGAAGTTTGCTAAGCGACCGCAACAGTTAGATAAATCAGTTCATATTCGGGAAGCAAATCTGAATGTACTCAACAAAAGTAGCCGTTAAGTGAAAATAATAAATTGAAATATATTTTTTTATAGTAACCTAACGTGCAAAACTTAATTATATATATATATATATACATATATTTGTATATATATAAATGTTTATAGGGAAAAATAATCAACACAAACACGAGAACACAAACAAATTCCAATATATCGCACAGGGGCGCATCCGATTTCCGAGACTGTGCTTAATTCAATATTTTGATAAACTATTACGTGTGTGGGTTTTGTGTGTGTGTGTGTGTGTGAGAGAGAGTGTGGGTGTATCTGTATCTGTGTGTTGTGTTGTGTTCAAAACTCAAAAACAAATGCGTGTTGTTTTTACTTTTCAAAACAAGGCAAATACTTGGCTACTTTTGTATACTATTGCATGCGACTGGAGTCTGAAGATTAAGCTTAAAGCTCTGCTTAAAGTTCCACGGAAATGCTTGGCATTCAAGCTTTTCGCATAAAGCTTTTGCTTGAACAGACACATAAATTGAGTATCTGCGACCTTAAGGCTTCTTCAGACTCGTCGCACAAGCTTCAGCTTGAACAGACACTTGAATTAAGTGTCTGAGAGCTTAAAGCTTCTTCAGACTCGTCGCATACAAAACATTATAAGCCACGTTCATATTAATTTAGTGTCATTTTACAAGTAGTTAATTAATATGTATACAATTAATCATAGGCGGTGTATTTTTTGTTTAGTAAATGATTATGCAAAGAAAACATTAAGACTTACTTTTCGGTTTGTTTTTTTTTCTATTGCGTTTGACTTATACAAGTAGATTTGTTTTCGGTAAATTTTTTGCTTTGCTTTCTCTATATGCTATATATAGAAGGTGTTTTTCTTTTAAATTGCTTGAATTTGTTCTTTAGCTTTATATTTTGTTTTTGGTTTTAGTTTTTGTTTTGCTGTTTAAGTGCTCCAAAGCAAGCTAAGTATGAGATACAAGATAATACAGTCAAAATACGTAGTATAAAAGTACATATGTATGTATATATAAGATAAATATTTTGTCGTTGTGGTTAAATATACAAATGTGCACAAGTAAAGTACACCAAAAGATTAGTTAGAAATACACATATACCGAGAGTGCAACAAAGAAATATAAATTTTAAAAACTTATGAATAACGAAACCAAACAGAGTCCGCGCTAGGATCCAAGTTCAAGTCTGGAACACACCTCAACAGAGTGAGAAGAAGACTTTTACTAGGCAGAATAGAGGAGGAACTTGTAATTCAATTTGTAAAGAAAATGAAGCAAACAAAATAGTACGGGCAAATTTCGAAAAGCTGCGGAACTGGTCGCATCTCAAATACTCTTCACTGACAGACAAAAGCTGACTGCTATACAGCACCTGCCCACATTTCGTACAATAGAAGGAAAATACATATAAGAGGGGAAGAATTTAGAGATAAATATCTGCCAGATGATTCGATGAATTAAAGTAAACATACTTCTGGAACTCACGACCCTGCTAATATGCTCTTTCAGCGCGCCCCAGGCTATGCAAATTGCTAAGAAGCCACACAAATGCCACGAACAGACAGCGACAATGGGGTAGGGTATTTTTAAGTACCGGAAATAATGGGAAAGCATGTTTGGAATAGGCAAAATTGCAGCTAAGCGGCGTTATGCAAAATGCAAAATTATAATAAATGCATTTTTAATCACTGAAAGAACAAGAATTAATGCAGAAGACCTTCAACTTTTGAGAAGAAATAAATAAACAAAGCCAAAGTCCAACAAAAAGTTCTAATTTCGAATACACTTGAAAAAGTTGCCAATGCTAATAAAAAAAACGGGAATGTTGCTGAAAAAAGCTAATCGACAATTATGTACGTCACAAATCTGCGAAAACACGCACAAACACACACACACACACAGTCTTTATGTCGTAGCTCACTTTAAGCTGATAAGATATCAGCCAGTATTAAGATTTTATTTTATTTATTTCACTCGTGGTCAGGTAAACACTGATATTTCAACATTAAGATTCTAGAACGAGTTGGAATGCGTAGTTGCCAACGAAGTGTGAGGAACGCACTTGACACATATTAAAGCCGGCTTGAAAAGAAACTACGTGCAGAACTCGAACTCAAGCTCGAAAAGCTCAGTTCGAAACTAGTCGAACGGGTATTCGTATATGTATATGCACAGTTTTGTGTGTGTGTGTGTGTGTGTGTGTTCGTGTTTTTGTGAATGCTGCGGGATTCATTGACCGCTGCCGAGTTGTAATATGGGCCGTGCGTGAAGATCAGAGAGAGCGAGAGAGAGCGCAAGCTTTAAATGCGGGCCGGTCTTTAACGGTTTGTTTGTTTTGTTTGTGGTTTGCTCTCAGTCTCCGACTCTCGCTGCTAGCTGCAGCAGAAATAGAAGAAATAAGGCAACACGAATAATTCAATTAAATGTCGCACAAGACAAAAAAAAAAAAAATTAAAAGGAAAACAAGCAAGTGAAGTCAAAGGAATTGAAAATGAGGGGGAGGTGCATTGGCCTGAACTTGGGCAATTGAATGCCAGACGCAAACAAGCAATAAGCTAAAAAGAGAGAGCAAGCGTTACGACGCGCACTTTCTTTGTTGTGGCGCTTTATTTTTGCACTTGACTTTTTCCGCGACGGCGACGTTTTTATTGCCAAAAATATATTAGTGTATATATATATGTGTGTGTGTGTGTATAAACTGAACGGCTTGTGTTGTACTTTCTGGCAAGGAGAGCCTTGAATTTAACGTCAAGTTCAATGAACGTAGACTAAAAAACAATTCGCGCAGCGGAAGCACACTGCAGCAGCGGACGAGAGCTTTGCCGAGATCGAGATCACAAGCGAGACTGAGCGAGCGCGAATGAGTGCGTGATGCGAATTGATACGAACGTGATTTAAATGGCGTTCACCAGCAACAACAACAACAACAACTACAGCCACTTGCGCACATTAGAACAAATTATTATGTGCTCTTTGTTCGTGTTGTGTGCTGTGTGTTGTCTAATGCTATTAGGAACCCCTTTGTCTGAGCGACCTGTCCGTTTTATCGTTTAGCACAACGTTGCGAATGTGTGGAATCGATAATGGGGGAATGTCTAGTCGAAGGTCAGCGCATTTGCATAGCGCTCAGCCCACTGTGCAGGCCTCTGATCTTGCGCGCGCTCTCTCTCTCTCCCACTCTCTCTTGCACTGTCTCTCATCTTCGATTTGAATGTTGCATTTTGGTGCATGCGGGCGGCGTACAATTTGGGGCGTGTGCATTGTGTGTGTGTGTGTGTGTGTGTGTGTGTGAGTTGCTGTGCGTGTGTGCGTACGTGTACCCGTTTGATAACAATTCGAAAGGAAAAATGCGATTAGATTTCATAACTACTTATTTGTGAGCACATTTGTCTACATGTCCATGTTGGTATGCACTGACAACCGATATATGCGACACCTTCATTCATATTAGTCACTTCTAATACGGCGAAATGGGCAACATAAACCAGTTCCAAATGCCCCGGCTATGACTAAGCCGCGGCGCGTCGCGGCGGCCGGCGGCACGGCGAAACGAGCCGGCGAAAATACAGCAGCAAACTGTTATCAACAAAATGATAAATACGAACAAAAAAAAAAAAAAAAAGAAATAAAATGAACTACAACTACGACGACTACAACAAATAAGCCCACAGTTTATATATTTTTATATACAAATTATAACAACTTCCGTTAAGTGAAGTATAGTAGTATAAGATGACGTACACACACATACACATACACATACACATATGTATATGTACAATATGCTAGGCATACGCTGCCAAATGCATAAACAACAAATGGCAACTATTTCGAAATCAGTAATAACAACAACAACAAAAAAACACGAAACAAAAAAAAATAGTTGCTGCCAATTGCGAGCAACAAATACAAATGAAAGAAAACTAAAGAGAAATGCTCGCCCCAAACGCTGCCCACGTCCGCTTACCTGCTGCAATACTTCTGACTTCTCTCCGCACTGCGCGTTGTGTTGCCTGCAGTTGGCTAGTCCGTGTGTGTGTGTGCGTGAATGTATGTCTGTGTAGGTGTATGTGTATGTGTGCGCGTGTGTGTGGTGTGATGTGTGTGGGGCTCCAAGAAACAACGAAAACTACTCCTCCCAGCTAGTTTTATATTTTTACGACTTTCTTTTTAAATATGCCCGACAGTCACAAGACGATGACAACAACGGCGACGTCAACAGAATTGCAGTGGAAACTAATTGTATGTGTATGTCGTAGGGCACGCGTGGGCGTTATTTACACTTTTTTTTTTTTGTTTGTTGCACCGAACACGAATATTAGCCAAATATAATATGAAACAGAGCAATGATTTTCTTGTTTTGTATGGCTTTTGCGTTTGCTTTCTTTTTCTGCTGCTGTTTTGCTCCGTCTCCACTCGCTGACGATGGTATTACTAAAACAATAGGCAAAGAAACGATATATCGATATAACGTAGAGTAGCAACTACGTGTTGCCAGCTATCGATTACACGGCATGGCTTAATTGTCAATTAAATAAAATCTAAAAATATAAAATGCCAAAAATTAAAGCTATAATAGTGGCAATTTATATCAGTATTGTCATTGGAACAAGCTAAAACTTGACCAAAATATAAGATGTCATTATTTCAACGACTGCAGTTAGATAACAGCGTGAATGTTTTGTTGCACATCTATAACATATTGCATTAACATAATTCTGCTATCACGATAACATCGATAGGTTGATTTACTTAACTCGGTAAATAACATTTGTACATTTTTAACACTACTTTGAATTCGTTTCGATTTTAAGGCGGTAAGATTTGAAATTCGAATTGTGCGCCTGAGTTGATTATCAAGCTCTAAATTGTTATGTCGAACCGATTTCTTTCTGTTTATTTACGACTTTATTTAGAATACCATTTTCATTTATTTGTTTATATAATTACGTGCTACAAACTAAATTCATTTGTTAACCAACTGATAACAATATATATTTTTTTCTTTTGTGTTTATGTGCGTTGCTACGTCTGTGTGAGTGTATGTGTGTGTTTGTGTGTGTTTTTCTCGTTCTTTAACATTAACTCGATGTTTGTTTTTTGTTTATATATATTTTTTTGTTGTTTTCGCTTTTTCCTTTTGTTTAACTCTAAGTACCTACTTGTAAACTTTTCAACGTACATATGGTGTATACAGTTATTAAATATTTATATTCGCTGTCACTTACTGGCCAGACAAGCTGCCCCCGCGTACCCTCGCCACGCCCACCCCCACCCGCCCAGTAATCAACTTAAAACTTAAGCCAGTCCCCGGTCGCAGTCCGTCGATCTGTCCTTGGGTTCACGTAAATTCCGAACGAATTTTCCGGTTTTTCTTTCGGTTCTTTTTTTTCGTTCGGTTTTTCTTCTTTTGAAAACTGAAACGCTCGAAACGCTTAAATCGAAAATCATAGAAACTAAATTAACTTAAGACATACAATCCAAATTGTTCGTTACGCTGCTCGATGCATGCCACGCCCCCACACCCAACGCCCACGCCTGCCAGCGCCTATTTTTTATTTAAATAATTGTTGTGCGTGTTTTTTTTTCTGGTTTTTTTTTGTTGTTTTCTTTTTGTTTTTTTTTTTTTTGGCACACACTCTGCTCACTCCTCCGGCGGTTCCTCGGGTATTTGCAGATTCTGTGCCGCATGCTCCGAGTCGCCCAGCAGCACCGACGGATACTCCTCGTGCACCGAATTGGACTGCGAATCGGCATCCTCCTCGAGCAGATTCGATTTGCTCGTCGGCGGCGGCGGCGGCGGCGTCGTCGCCAGCAGCACATTCGGTATATACTCGACCGTCTCATACTCTGTTTTGGCCACCGTATCGGCGACGCGCTGCTCGTGCTGCTCGGCGACGGCAGCCGGCATCAGCGGCGGCTGCAGCTGCTCCTGTTCCTGCTCCAGCTTCAACTGCTTCTGCTCCTCCAACTGCTCCAGTGTGCGGGGGAAATCGCTAGCTGTGGCATTCATGTGACTCGGCTTGACAGAGTCCGTCAGATTGGGCTCCTCTATGTCCAGGACAATGGGCAGCGTATCATTTGGTTGCGGCGTCGTTGTGCTCGTCGTCGTTGTGGTCGGCGCTGTGGTGGTCACCATTTCCGGCGTTGCCAGCGGCTGACTTACGGGCGCAGGCGTTGTCACCGGACTGATTACGGGCGGATTCGTTGTTGTCGTTGTTGTTGTTGTTGTTGTTGTTGTGCTCGTCGTCGTGTTGTTCAGCTCCAAGTGCAGCAGCGGCGGCGCCGGCGGGGTTGTGGTGGCCAGCAGCAGCGGCGGCGGCGGTTGGGCAGCTATTATGACCGGATTGATCAGCGGCTGGCCCAGCGTTGCAATTAACGGCGGCAGCAGCTCATCGTTGTTCTTGATCAGAATGGGCGACGGCACCAGCATCTGGACCAAAGGCTTGGCGTCCTCGGCATCGCCGATCTTCAGCTTGGTCACCAGCAGCGGCAGATCGATCTTGTACAGCATTGGCAGCACCGTGCACACCTCCTGGTCATTCTCGAAACACTGCGAACGGCCGCGAATGCGCGCATCCTGCGCGGCCATCAAACGGCACAGCTCGTTCAGGCGCACATCACACATGATGGGATTGTCTGAGCGAATGTAATACAATACGATATAGCATATAAATAAATTATGTTAAATATACAAATATTATTAATTATTTAATTGATGTCCCTAGCTCTTTTGGTGCCCGAGATATGCCCCAAGAAACCTTTCTTCAAAATCGATATTTATCGATATTAGGAGAATAAGAAATTCTGCTTATGGAAATGAATAATATTTAATTCAAGCAGATCTTGCCAGATTTTTTCATCAAACGACTTTCATTTAAGCAATTTATTAAGAAGGACCCCGGTTCGAATCCATCGCTAACGCAGGGATCCGGGCATTGTTTTAGTCGTAGGTCTCAGTAATCATTTATGTTCTTGATGAAGGTCTTTATCCATACTAATCATAATAATAATAATAATATTCCCAATTCAGGTCTTCAGATCTTATAGGTTCTGATACTGGAGATATCCAAAATATTGATATACGTGTCTCGTTTCCTTTGCTTAACGTGGCCTGGTCCTCATTTGGAAACATCCATCATCCTTCATCCTTCATACATAAGCTCAATAGCTAAAGGCTCGAACTCTTAGTCCACCAAATCCCACACACACGATACAACCACAGCAAGGGGTCAGTTTTTAAGAGTTTTTTCAATTCGTGGTACCGACTGAGGGAATTTGAAGGTATTTCTTAATCGGTTTTCGAACTCGAACAGGAAACTGATGAGGTATTCCAGTATCCGACTGAGACAGACGGACATATAAAGCTTTTACATTGACTCATTTCTTTCTCCTGATCAATCATATGGATAACTTAATTTAAGTATTAAATTCCTAATTGAATTAAACCTTTTTTTAGTAAGGATGAACTTGAACTAAGTTCGTTTTGTTTTGTTTTTGTAAATTTAAAATAGTTTCTGACTTATTCTCAGACAGTTTTAACTAATCTTAAATTACGCACGCTTTAAGCTTATGTCAAGAGCTCTTAGCTTGATTTTTGCTTATTCAATGAGGTATAAATGCGATTTTTCTCAGTGTATTTGAGGTACTCACCATCGAGATGTATCTCCAGTTTGCCGGGCACATTGTGATTCTTGCAGCGCGTGTTGGTGACGAGTTCGCTGGAGATGGTCGTGATTTGATTGTTGGTCAAGTTGACCTGGCAGAGCACGGGCAGCCCATAAAAGTCGCGCTCCAGCTTGCTAATATTGTTGTAGGCCACTTTCAGGATCTTCAGGTTGGGCAGCAGAGTCTGCGAAAATAAACAAAACGTTGCTTGATGCCAAATGCGAAGGGAACTCAGACTCTGGACCTACCGTTTCCAGCTGCTTCAGTTCCACGAGTTGATTGCTGGTCAAGTCGAGAATCTCCAGGCGATTCATGCCGTTCAGGTCGCCTGGCATAATGTACTCGATGCGGTTCTCCGGCAGGCTGAGTATGCGCAGATTGCTCAAACCGGCCAGCGCCGAGTCCAGGGTTATGATCTGATTGTGATCGAGACGCAGATCGATCAGCGGCAGCTCCGGCATGTGCTTGTGCCCGGGCAGTAGGCGCTGGATGCGATTGTAGGAGAGATCGAGTATCTTGAGGGAGCGCAGGCCGTGCAGCTCCTCCATGGAAAACTCGTCAATGTCGTTGAACGAAAAGTTGCCAATCTTCAGCTTGGCCATAGGATGCAGCGAGGAGTTCAGCGAGCGTATATGATTGCAGGCCAGATTGAGGGTCTCCATCTGGCGGCACGCCTGAAAGTCATCCTGGGCCAAAAACTCCAGCTCATTGTTGTTCGCAAACAGTTCGTTCAGAAACTGCGCATTCCTCAGCACACGATCGAACGATCTCAGTCGATTGAAGTGCAGATGTATCGTCTCCAGATCGTTCATGCTGGCCATGTTCCCGGGCAGTCGTTCCAGCCGATTGTTGTGCGCCATCAGCAGACGCAGCTTGCTGCCATCCGGCAGCTCGCCATCCAGATCGCTGATGTTGTTCGCATTGATGAACAGCGACTGCAGCTTGGTCAGTTCGTGGAGCGAACCGTTCAGCGACTCGATTTGATTGCGGCCCAAATGCAGGATGAGCAGGCTGAGCGGAAAGGCGCCACGATCCAGCCGGGTTATGTTGTTGCTGGGCAAGATCAGATTCGTTACCATTTGGATGCCCTTCAGATCGTCCTGCTGCACGGCTCGTATGTTACAGCGCCCAATGTCCAGGGTCTGGAGCAGCGGCATGTGATTCAAGACGTGCTTCGGAATCTCGTCGAGTTCGTTGTCGCCGACGCTTAAGTAGGTGACATTCGATAACCCGCGAAATGGCAGCTCTGGCAGCGATCTATAAATAGCATCAAAATTATATAAAAACAGAAAATAGAATAATTAAATGACATTACCCAAAAATTAGATTCGGAAATACCAAAAATACATCTATAAATGGCCTTTACTAGATTTGAGTGGGATGGAATCGAACTTCTAGATTTCATAATTCGTACTTTACTCAGCATTGAGTAAGGGGTATTTCACAAATCTCTTCAAATCTAATCTTCAAAATTTCTATTGCATACTTTTTGGCTCGCAAGTGACAATGACACTGGCTTAAAGCGACAATGATGTCTGAGGATATGTGCCAAACTGTTATAAATAAAACATTAGAAAGACCTTTGACAGAGCTTTGAGCTTTAAGAAATATTAACAGTATTTAATTTATTTACTATTGATTTACTTCCTAACAGCTTTAGTCTTTAACTTAATCCCTTTTTAAGTAATAAGTCAGACATCTAAACAACACATTGGAGAAAAAAGCTTTTGCATAGCTTGTAAATATCAATTTTCAATTTTTC